GATATGTTATGATGTGATATGGTACAAAACAAGACGCTGTAGAATGACATGACATGACATGACATGACATGACATGGCATGACATGACATGACATGACATGACATGACATGACATGACATGACATGACATGACATAGCATAACATAGCATAACATAGCATAACATAGCATAACATAGCATAACATAGCATAACATAGCATAACATAGCATAACATAACATAACATAACATAACATAAAAAACAGAACATAGCATGACATAACATAACATAGAAGCGCCCAAAGGCCCTCAAATTGTGAAAGCTTGAACCCCAGAACGCCCGGAGGACCAGGCAGGGAAGATCAGGTCAAAGGGCCCAGGCGCAGCGGAGCCCCCAAAAGTGTTCCTCTCGCTCTCGCGGCCGGGTCGTGCTACTGCGTTCCCCAGAGCAGCGCGGCCTCGCCGAGGATTTTGTTCCGGCCCTGTGTCCGAACTCGGGAATCTTTGGGGGGGCAGCGGCTCATAGGGCTGATCTCGCTCCAAGTCTCCGAGGGAGGGCGCATCGCCTGCACAGCTCCAGCGCACAAGGCGCCGACACTCGCCAGGGAGACGCTACGCATGCTACGCTCCCTCGGGAAACCAATTTGACCGAGAGGCACCAGCCAAAAGACTCGAGTTGCCAATCGAAAAGAGTTCTCCTGGCTCTTGCAGGTTCGCCGAGAAGGGCGTAGGAATTTCCATCATGTTTTTGCGGAGGCGTGTTGCGACAGCCATTTCGGATCTATCTCTGTGAGATTCTCTCGTGATGTCGCTGATCAAGCCTTCCTTGCAAGACAGCGGTGCGCTGCTGGCGTCCCCGGTAAGCCCAGATGTGTCGGCTGTGCAGGGCATCTACAACGTGCTCGTGGCTAACATCAACCTCCGGAAGACCATGACACAGCTCCAGGAGGTTGCGAACTTTGGCAGTGAGGCCGAAGCCATGCAAAGCCTGCGCAGTCAGATGAAGGATGCCAACAAGACGATGCTATCGCAAGAGCAGGCCATGGCAGACTTGCTTGGCGAGATCACCGCCATGGCCAGTTCCTGGAGTTCGTTGGCAATGTCGGTGTCGTTGGCCCAGGTTCCAGCAGAGGAAATATGCGAAGTTCTGGGTTTGTCCAGAGTGCTGCTGAAGCTCAAGGCAGTGAAGGAGGTTGAGGACTGCAACGTGGATGCCTTGGCCGAAGCACTTGACGAAAATCTCAAGAACTTCAGCAACCAATGCGGAGTCGAAGAGGAGCAGGCAACCTTCGAGCGTCTCCGTGATGAGCTCGAACAGGCAAAGAAAGACCTCAGCCAGCTGGATGAGGACTTGATTGAACAAGAGCTCAAGTTGGATGAGCTTCTGGCTGACAACCACTTCATCATGCGTCAGGTGCGGTTCTTGGCTGAGATGGAAAAGGTGGCTGGAATCCAGTCAGACACAATGAAGGCCTTGAAGGAAGCACACCAGGCGCATGAGATGACAAAAGTTGCATCCTTTGGCCTGGATATGCTGGGAGACATCTTTCTCGCGGGTCTCGGCCAATTTGTCAACCGAAGGCGAAAGAAAGAGCAGATCGCCAAGGGGGAGTACGAGGAGTTCAAGAGCAACTTTGACGACAAATATGGTGAGGTGGACTCTGAGGAATTCGCCAAAAAGAAGTCGCAGCTCGAGGTGGACATGGATAAGAAGAAGGCCCTCATCAAAGCTGCGGAGGCGTCCAAAAAGCACCTAATGGAGGCAAGGGACGAGAAACACAAATACATCGAGGCAAAGAGGGAGGAAGTCGTTGCAGCAAGGACAAGTGTCATGAAGAAGCTGGAAAGCATCGATAGTGTCAGTGTCGAGCAGTACAAGAAGGTGTGCGCTGCCAGCATGCAGTTTGGCCAACAGAGATCCCGCCGCGGTGCCTTCCAGATGTTTGCCAGTCAGGCGATTAAGTCAATTGAGGCCTACCATCATTTCATTGGCAACCTTGCGGTTGCTGACTGGGATGCGCAAAAGACCACCATGACGAAGATCGTGTCCAGTGAGTGCGGATGGGGTGTGCTTGCTCCGGCACTGGGTTACGTGCAAAAAGTTTGCACCCCGTTGGGTCTTCTCATGACTGGCGACCCGGCAAGCAAGGAGGACATACCGAAGTTGGCATCGTTGGTCTCACCTGCGACCAAGCTCATCAATGCTCTCAACGACGGCAATCGAAGTCAGCTGCCCAAGCTGGCAGACCGAGGGTCAAGCCATACTCAGAGTCCGCCTGCGCTGAAGGACCAAGCGAGCTCCACGCCTGATGCCAAGGCTCCGCCCTCTCAGCCTTCGGCTGCCACTCACACGGCCAAAGGCCCAATGCCTGCAGAGGCAGATGACGACCTTATGGACTTGCTGTGATACAAGCAGTAGCTCTCAGCATCGTGATGTTGTGAGTTTTTGTTCCCATGCGGCCTGAAGTTCAGGTGCTTGGGAATCTGAGTTCTGTTTCGGGCCATTAGAGCCTTTGCTCCACGTTCCGGTCCGAAGCAGACTTTCTCAGTCCAAGATTACAGATCCCTCTCCGGAGAAGAGGTCGTCCGAGCACTGTCGAAAGTTGAGCAAGAACATCCGTAGCTGCACTTGGCGCAAGGTTCGGAGCTTCACGGATCCTGCTCTGTCCCGCAGCGCCCGTTTTAGCCTCAAGAAGTCTGCAGGGGATCCACAGTGAGCCGCATGAGAAGCACCCAGAGATCTGGCACCAGGAGATGCGCTGACGTAGGCCCCAAGAGTCACAAGCAGCCATTCCTAACACGACCCGTCCTAAGATGTAAGTATCGCATCATGGCATCGACACGAGCGCGAACTTGTGCGATGACCAGGCGGTTTCGCATGTTGTCACGACCTTTGCATATCCCAATTGAACTTGGCTTGGTGGTTGGCACAAACCTCATCCCAGGCCAAAAGTGTGGAATAATGGCCGTTTACAGGTGTCGCGACATTATTTTTCACCTACCTTTGGGGATTTCGGTAGCACCTAACCCGGACAGTCTGAGTCTTCATCTTCACCCTAAACCCTAAACCCTAAACCCTAAACCCTAAACCCTAAACCCGAAGCCCAAAATTCATCCTTGGCCCCCAGCCCTGCACCCTCGGAAGTTCACTTCGAAAATCCGAGTGCCCTGAAGCCTGTACTCGCACATCCCAAACCCTAGAAACCCTTACGAGGCTGTGCAGCCGTTGTGGAACCCTTAGACACATTCTGACTCTAAGAGTGACCCTAGACCCTAAACCCTAAACCCTAGACCCTAAACCCTAAACCCTAGACCCTAAACCCTAAATCCCAAACCCTAAACCCTAGACCCTAAACCCTAAATCCCTAGACCCTAAACCCTCAACCCTAAACCC